GTCGAAGCGAATCCTAATGAATTCGATATGGATATTGTATTCCAACAAGGTGGAGCACCACCACATTACCCCAAACAAGTAAGAAACTCTTTGGATACTACTTTTCCCGATCGTTGGATTGGCCGTCAATGTCATACAAAATGGCCAGTCCGCTCGCCAGATTTGACACCTTTGAAATTTTTTTAATGGGGCAAAGGTGTACGAATCTAAACCTGCTTCAATATTGGATATACGACAGAGAATAATAAAAATTTGGAGAGATATTGACGTTACTGTGTTCGAAAATGTTCGGCATGACATATCGGATAGGCTGTTGATATGTCAAGAAGTTCAAGGCAACCATTTCAAGCATCTTCTGAACTGAACTCAAGCTTATTACATCATATTATGTGGTTGAATGTCAATGTGTTCAGGCAATTATTGAAAGTTTTGCCATTTTGTAGTAGTTGAAGATATTGACAATATATCCTAGAATTGTGAAGCATTCGTCAGGAGCTTCAAAAAGATGTGTCACAAAACTCCTCTTTCCATTAGTTTTTTCCCAGATGGCTCCCAGTCGCCATCTTGAAAGTTACTTCAATATAAAGTATTCATGCATTGATTTCATTATCCCAAATTTCAATTTTTTGAGTTGACCTGTTCAAAAAATAAAAGTAGGGGGGACATTGAAGAAAACCACTGTAGAAACCAAAACAACGACAAAGATCGACGTCAATCAAGTGACTATGTGTTTTTGGGACAGAAACCATTTCACCAAGTACCAGAGTTCTTCTAAAACACAGCATCGAATTATTGTTCGGAAAATTTGAAATTTCAAAACGGGATAGATTGTTTTTTGGAAAACCATATAAGAATTTGCAGAGTTTTCACAACCCGATAAAACTAAATTAGCAATTTCTCAATGTTCAACAGTTCAATGCATTGTTTTGCATTATCTTCCTTAACATAAATACATCCTTCACCTCTACGTCACGTACCGAATACCCAATTATCATACAACAAAACGTTTCCACTGAATATCACAAAAAGAAGTCGCCCTAGGTGGGGCTACTCGGAGACTCCCTATCGTCCCTCAGGCTGGTGTCAGGTGAGGACCTCTGCTGCGGCGCGTAGGGGGAATATCTGTGCTGCGCAAGCGGCCTAGCCAGAGGTGAGATAGGCTGCTGCAGCTGCGAGCTCCCCGCGGCCGCTGCCGCAGCAAGCTGGTGTTGGTGCTGCGCAGCAAGAAGCGACGGCCCCAGACAGGCCCACTGGTTCCACAGCACCCCGGGGGGCACAGTGCCGCTGCTTTGGGAGCCTCCAGCGCCGTATAACCCCCCCATCAGGGGGGCGTATGGTCCCGCTGCTGCTGCTGCCGCGCGGAGGAAGAGCTGTGATCTGGCTGCTAGGATAGCTTTTTCTTCCAAGGAGAGGTTGTTGTTGTGAGGGTCCATCTCGGCGAAGGGGCGGAGGGGGGAGCGGAAGTAGTGCTGCTCGGCTAGCATGGATTCCATTGTCTCTCTGTAATCATAGAAACTAGTGGCGATTAGTCAAGTAGTAAAGATACTTATTTGGTTTTATTCAAGTGAAAAATTTCTATTTGGAATTCAATTGAGGATTGGGGCCAAAATGAAGAGGTCTCAGAGGCTTCTGACATAGCTATTGTTAAAACCAGTGATGGAGCGGATGAAATAAAATCGACTTTTCGTATACAATCTTTTGCTGCTTGAAATTTGCCTGCCTGTCCGGTTTTTGGAAAACACAGTGGCCTCATGAGTTTCTTGCGTCTTTTCTGTTTCAAAATAGTTGCACTTCTGTCAAACTTTCTCCCCAGAGATTTATGAAATATACAGGGTGTAAAATAAGTACGTTAAAATATTCAAGTGACGTGTTCCTGAGATAATTTCAAGAAAAAAAGTCTATACAAACTTCTGTCCAAAAATGCTTGGTTTCGGAGATACAGGGTGTTCAAATTGAATTTTTTTGTTCGGTTTTTGAGAATAACTCTTGCAAAAAATAAAAATGTTCAACGAAGAATGATTCGTTTTCGAAATACAGATTGTTGAAATTTTTCAAAACATGGTAGGTTTTTGTCATAAGTTTTTTGCAATTTTAGTTATTTTCGTAAAACTTTATACGCAGTATACCCGTACAGACTTCTTCTGAACTGAGCATTATCGAACTGCTTATTCAATCCATATTAAAAAAAAATTGACAGGTTTAATTATCCAATTAGAAAGTGTTGAGTTTCTAAAAAAAATCGGAGAAGTACTATGTTATTCATCAGGAAAATAAACTGCTCTCCTCATCAAAGAATTCCGCACCCGTTGAGAAATGCCCGGAGTGTTTCTTATCGTTTCGCAGCAAGCTATGATGCGATCTTTCAACATTTCCTCGTTTTCAATGGGGCTAGCATAAACTACTGATTTAAGGTGTCCTCAAAAGAAAAAATCGGCGGGATTGAGGTCCGGTGACCTCAAGGGCCAATGCTCAGTGCTTCCTCTTCCTACCCATCGTAGGGGACATGCTATGTCTAAAAAAGTTCTTGCTATCACACAAAATTAGCAGGAGCTCCATCGTGCATAAACCAAGAGTGATTTCGGAGACCAATGAAACATCTTCCATAAGTTGGGTAAGCTCGTGTTCCAAAAAATGTAGTTAAGCATCCCCATTCAAACGTAAGGGGAGAAAATAGGGCCCATACATTGAAAGAGAATCTGTCTTGGAAATGAGTTTGCGTTATCGCATGTGGTTTATCTTTCGCCCAGATGTGGTTGTTATGAAAGTTCCTGATACCACTATCAGTTCCTGAAAAATTAGCCTCATCTGTGAAGAGGATTTTCGATCAAATTTGCGGATGTTGTTCGACTTTTTTTTGAAGCCACTAAGCAAATTCGATACGTGGTTAGATATTACGTAGCGTAAGTGCCTGGACACGCTGAATATGATGAGGATATATTTGCTGTTCCTTTAAAATTCTGTAAACTGTCATGTGACTCACATTTAAAGTTTGACTAATTTTTTTTGTACTTGTCTCTGGATGTTCACTAATTACTTTGAGAACCGCCTCCTCCAATTCTACAGAAACTCTTCAGTTTCATGGCCTTGTTGCTATAAACTACAACTTCCCAAAAATGGGCAATTGTTTTCTCAAGTATTTGGTTTTGTTAAGATTTGCGAATAATTTTGATAGTCATCTCAAATTTCTATTTGGGCGACCCGGATCATTCAAATGATATACTTGAGAATATGTGCATTCTTTAGAGTTATACAGTGTGGTCCACACTAAGTGTTCAACAAATGGGAAACTTTTTTATTATCGATTTCTCAGAAAATTTTATTCCTGACAAAAGTTGGTGCATGTTCCAAAACTATACCAAGTGTACCTGAAATGTCTTTATGACAAACACCATACAGGATAGGTCAAAAAATATAAAACTCGTTCAAGAGTAAAGTACCCTTATTTCAAAAAATATAGAAATATGATGAAGAGAAACGTTGCTTAGAATTGAAACTTATGTTCAGATACGAAGTCATGGCCTGCTATTCAGTTTTTTTTTCTTTTGGAAAATTTTGAATTACCCCCGTATGATACATATTTTTACTATTTTGATTTAATATGTATTTGAAGTACCTACAATCAAATCAGTTTGGAGTATTTTTTATCAAATCAAAGTGTATTTGTAAAATTTACTTGGATTTGTATTTTTTTAGGTGACCGTCAACTTCATGTTTGTTGCAACGATATTTAACAGAACTCTAGAATAAAACAAATACTCTTTTTAACGAGGCAAATACGAGGCAAAAAAAAAACCTAGTACCACACCAAACGTTTGTTTTCTGATAGTATGGATTTTTGTTGTCAATAATAAAATTTGGGTTGACATCTGACCATCATCTGCAATTTTGTGATGATAGAACCCCATTTGTTGTAAAAGTAGATTCACCTTCAAACAGAATACATCGATGAAAATCTCGTTGTTCTTCTACTTCACTCTGAATCTATAGTCCGTTCATAATTTGTTGATAGCTCACTGCAAGTTTGACCCTCATTAGAGAACTGAAATACAGAGAGGACTGCTAATATGATATAATAACAAAAACCAAACTAAAACTGGCAGTTTAAGATGTTTTCGACTAACCCACCTTGTATCTGAAGAAATACAATACAGCTATAAAACTTTTAATCCGATTATGTAGGTATTTTGAGTGGAAATGAGTGACCAGTGTCGTA